TGGTCTGTTCAAGAATTCTATTTCTCCCTGATTGAGCCTAGGGAAGCTGTGTGTTTCTAAGTATTTGTTCATTTCTTCCACATTTTCAAGTTTATGTGCATAGAGGTTTTTATAGTGTTCATAGATGATATTTTGTATTTCTGTGGTATCAATTGTAATTTCTCCTCTTTCATTCCTGATGGAGCTTATTAGAGTCCTTTCTTTTCTGCTTCTCATTAATCTAGCAAAAGGCATGTCAATTTTGTTTATTTTTTCAAAGAACCAACTTTTTGTTTTATTAATCTTCTATTTAGTTTTTTGTTATCAATTTCATTTAATTCTGCTGTGATCTTTGTTATTTCTTTTCTTGTGCTGGGTTTGGTGTTGGTTTGCTCATCCTTTTCCAGTTCTTTGAAACAATTCATTAGATTGTTGATTTGTGATATTTCTGTCTTTTGGATGTAGGCATTTAAGGATATAAATTTTCCTCTCAGGACTTCTTTAGCTGTGTTCCACAGATTTTGATAACTTGTGTCTACTTTATCATATAGTTCAAAGAATCTTTTGATTTCCATCCTAATTTCCTCCTTAATGCAATAATCATTCAGCATAAGGTTGTTTAGTTTCCAGGGCTTTGTGTAGAGATGAGAGTTTCTGTTGAAGGTGATTTCTAATTTTATTCCACTGTGGTCTGAGAAGATGCATGGTATAATTTCTATTTTTTTAAATTTGTTGAGACATGTTTTGTGGCCTAGGACATGGTCAACCTTAAAGAATATCCTATGAGCTGATGAGAAAAATATATATTCAGTGGGTTTTGGGTAGAGCTTTCTGTAAATGTCAGTAAGGGCCATTTGTTATAGAGTTCTGTTCAAGTCCATTGTATCTTTGTTTATTTTCTGTTTGGAGGATCTGTCTTGTTCTGTCAGAGGGGCATTGAAGTCACTGGCTATTACGGTGGTGCTGTTTATCATTTTGTTTAGATCAAGTAGGATTTCCTTTATGAATCTAGGTGCACCTGAGCTAACTCATAACTGCATAAATATTTAGAATTGTTATGTCTTCTTGTTGAATTGTACCATTCACCATTATATAGTGACCACCTTTGCCTTTCATTACTTTTGCTGGTTTGAAGCCTAAGTTATCTGACATCAGAACTGCCACACCAGCTTTCTTTTGACTTCCATTTGGATGGAATATTGTTTTCTATCCCTTCACCTTGAGTCTGAGTGCATCCTTGTAGGTTAGATATGTTTCCCAGAGACAGTAGATACTTGGCTTGTGTATATTTATCCATTGGGCCAGCCCATGTCTCTTTAGTGGGCAGTTCAAGCCATTCACATGTATTGAAAGAATTGATAAGTGGGACAGATTTCTGCTCATCCTGTTGAGTTGAACTTTGTTGCTTTTTCTTCTCTCTTGAGCCATTGGGGTATCTGGCCTTTGACCTTTAGCTTTTGGATGATTTTACACTGGTGAGGGTTTATTGTGCTGATCCATGTGTAACGTTGTTCTGAGTACTTTCTAGAGGGCAGGTCTTATCTTGATGAATTTCCTTGGTCTTTGCTTGTCTGAGAAGACCTTTATTTCTCCTTCATATAAGAAACTTAGTTTTGCAGGATACAAGATTCTACGTTGGGCATTATTCTGTTTGAAAAGAGTGAGAATGGAACCTCAGTCTTTTCTGGGTTGTAAGGTCTCAGTTGAGAAGTCTGCAGTTAGTCTGATGGGTTTTCCTTTGTAGGCTACCTGCTTCTTTCCCCTTACAACTCACAGGAGGACCTCTTTCGTGTTTATTTTGGCCAGTCTGATGACTATATGTCATGGTGTCTTCCTGTTTGCAATGAATCTCCCAGAAGTCCTTTAAGCTTCTTGCACCTGGATATCTAGATTTCCAGCAAGGCCAAGGACATTTTCCTCCATTATATCTTCTAATAGTTTATCCAACCCTTGCATATTTTCTTCTTCACCCTCAGGGATGCCTATAATTCTCATGTTAGATCTCTTCACATAATCCTACATTTCTTGTATGTTTTGCTCTTTTCTCTTATTTCTCTGCTCTGTCTCTATGACTGACTTATTTGATTAAAAGGTGGTATCTTCAATCCCTGAGATTCTTCTTTCTGTTTGATCAACCCTATTCTTGAGGCTTTCCACTGTGTTCTGTAATTCCTTGAATAAATTCATTTCTAGAAGTTCTGTTTGATTTTTCTTTAATATTTAAATGTCTTTAGTGAATTTTTCTTCCAAGTCTGGGAATTTTTTGTGTATGTGGGATTTCTTTAGTTCCCTTAGCAGTTACCTTAATTTCCAAATCAATTATGGAAGAAAAACTACAGAAAATTTCCAATTAAATAATGTTAAAAATGACTTTTTTTTTTTTTTTTTTTGAGACAGTGTTTCACTCTGTTGTCCTGGCTAGATTGTCATGGCATCAGCCTAGCTCACAGCAACCTCAAACTCCTAGGCTCAAGCAATCCTACTGCCTCAGCCTCCCAAGTAGCTGGAACTACAGGGATGCACCACCATGCCAGGCCATTTTTTTCTGTATGTTTTTGTTGGCCAATTAATTTCTTTCTATTTTTAGTAGAGACGGGGTCTCACTCTTGCTCAGGCTGGATTCGAACTCCTGACCTTGAGTGATCCGCCCTCCTCAGCCTCCCAGAGCACTAGAATTACAGGCATGAGAAAAATTACTTTTAATCTTCTGATGCTTTAAATATAATTATGTATCTGTAGCAAATAACTTAATGAAAGCAATGGTAAGGTAAATTTGCTGCAGAAATAGCAACTTTTGATTTCTTTCCCTCTTATATAAATAAATTAATGGAAAAAATGTCAAATCAATGGTCCTACTTCCCTGATTGCCTACCTTATTTAAGGTAGGTAGTACAGATATTGTTATCTCAATTTAACAGATGGAAACAAAGTGAAAAGAATTTAAAAGATTTCTAAAAAGATATGTCTAAAAGTTGGAAAATACTAGAATCCATATTTATCAACCATTAGAGTAGGGCCTTTTCCATTCCATTCCATTGCATCTCCTCACTACATCATGGAGGGTGGAGTTCCCACTTTTACCTTCACATACTTTATGACATTTCACTGAAGCAATGTGGAATTCCTTTCCACTTCCTGTTTTTCATTATAGATTTCGTGGCACAATTTGAATCCCTTTAATGGCTTTCAAATTAATTCCCCTTTTAAGTCCAGAGATTGAATTTTTTTTATTTGTTAATCACAGAATAAAGAATAGCAAAATATTTCTTATAGAATAATATGTATTTTAGAGATTAAAAATAGCTCTGTAAAAAGTAGTCTTTCAGATTACCATGAAAAGGAAAACATTTTTAGTTTCTGCTAAAGAGCTTAAGTTTGAACTGTTTTAAGTGTATAACTGATAGATGATAAACAGCAGATATTTAAAGTGTACAGTTGTAAGTTTTGACATACATATATCTTTCTGAAACCATCCCCACAATCAAGATAATGAACATTTCCATCACCCATCACCACCAAAGTTTCCTCTTGTCACTTGGTAATCCCTCTCTTCTGCCTACCTGCCCTTCCTGACTCCCAAACACTCTGCCAGTAACAGGCAACCACTGATCTGCTTTTTGTCATCATAGATTGCTTTGTATATTCTAGAATTTTATATAATGGAATCAATAGTATTTACTCCTTTTTGTCTAGTTCTTTTCACTCAACATAATTATTTTGAGATTCTTCTATGTTGCATGTATATCAACTATTCATCCCTTTAATACTGAGTAATATTTCACTGTATGGATATACAATAATTTGTTTATCCATTCTCCTGAAGATAGACATTTGGGTAGATTTCAGTTTGGGGCTATGTTAAATAAAGCTACAAAGACCTAATATGCCTTTGTATGAACACATGCTTTCATTTATCTTGGGTAAACACCAAGAAGTAGAATGATGGAAGGCATATGTTTAACTTTTTAAGAAACTGCCAAAATGTTTTCCAAAGTGGTTGTACCATTTTACATCCCCACCAGCAGTATATGAGAGTTGCAGTTGCTCCATATCCTCTCCAACCCTTAGCATAGTCAGTCTTTTTTATTTTAGACATTGCAATAGGTGTGCAGTGATATTCATTGTTGTTTTAATTTGCATCTTTTTTCATTTTTTTTTTGAGACAGAGTCTCACTCTGTTGCCTAGGCTAGAGTGCCGTGGCATCAGCCTAGCTCACAGCAACCTCAAACTCCTGGGCCCAAAGGATCCTCCTGCCTCAGCCTCCCAAGTAGCTGGGACTACAGGCATATGCCACCATGTCCAGATAATTTTTTCTATAGATTTTTAGTTGTCCAGCTAATTTCTTTCTATTTTTTAGTAGAGAAGGGGTCTCGCTCTTGCTCAGACTGGTCTTGAACGCCTAACCTTGAGCGATCCTCCCACCTTGGCCTCCCAGAGTGCTGGGATTATAGGCATGAGCCACCATGCCCAGCCTCAATTTGTATCTTAATGATGCTGAATATCTTATCATGTGATTGTCTGCCATCCCTATATATTCTTTTTTAAATTTTTTATGAATACATAATAGTTGTACATACTTATGGGGTACATGTGATATTTTGTTACAAGCATACATTGCATAATGATCAAATCAGGGGGGGAGGAAAAAAATGATCAAATCAGAGTAATCTGCATCCCCATCACTTCCCAGGTACATTTTTGGTGAAGTATCTGTTCAAATCTTTTTGCCCATTTAAAAAATTGGATTGCTTTTTTATTGAGTTTTGAGAGTTCTTTATATATTCTAGATACAAGTTCTTTAACTGATCTATGATTTGCAAATATTTCCTCCCAGTTTGTGGCTTGCCTTTTTATTAAAAGCTCAATTTGTAAAAGTTAAGAAAAATTCAAAATAGAAAAGTTTTGGAAGGCACAGTCTATTAAAGTAAATCACTAAAAATACCTTTAAAACATTTATATAAAACCATGCCAAAAGCACTTTATTAAATGCAAAATAATATTTATGTAATAATTTACACGGTGGTGGAAACATTTTTCTTTTGTAAAGGAAGATACTACTAGATGATCTTGAACATGGGTGGTCAACTGTATCAGTGAAAGCTGTCTTCTCTTAACATGGTGTCTTTTCCTTGATGAACCACAGATGCTATACTGTTTCATACCTGGATGCTAGGAAAACTGAACCCACTCAAAGTCTTCACAAACACAGAAAAGCAGAATTAAATAAAGAAAGAGAAACTGCGGATTAGTAAAGCAAATTGATATGCACTTGACCTCATACAGCAGCAGATATAGACCACTGTGAGTCAAATAGATGATAGGTTAGGTGAGAATCAACATTCCAGAGCTTTGCTCTGCCCTGGATGCTCCCACCCACCAGACAGTTCCAGAGTCAAGCCTTCTTCATCTGACTGTCTTCTTCCTGGCCCTGGATAGCTGGATCCATAGACACTGTGCCTGGTGCCACTGCACCCCCATCCCAAACTCCTACTTGGTACATGATTCTATTCTGTTTTATTTTTGAGCTAGAGCGCAGAGGCATAATCATAGCTCACTGAAACCTCAACTCCTGGGCTCAAGCAATCCTCCTGCCTCAGTCTCCCAAGTAGCTAGGACGACTGGCATGTGCCACCATAGCCAGCTAATTTTTCTTTCTTTCTTTTTTTCTTTCTCTTTTCTTTCCTCCCTTTCCTTCCCTCCTCCTTCCTTCCTCCCCTCCCGTCTCCCTTCCTTCCTTTCTTCCTTCCTTCTTTTTTGTAGACTCAGGATTTCACTATTGCCCAGGCTGGGCTTCAACTTCTGGCCTCAAGCAATCCTCCTCCTTGGCCTCCCAAATTGCTAGGATTACAGATGTGAGCCACTGCACCCAGTTAGTACGTGATTCTTTTTTTTTTTTTTTTTTTAAGGCAGAGTCTCACTCTGTTGCCCGGGCTAGAGTACGTGGGATCAGCCTAGCTCACAACAACCTCAAGTTCCTGGGCTCAAGAAATCCTCATTCCTCAGCCTCCTGAGTAGCCGGGACTATAGGCATGTGCCACTATGCCCAGCTAATTTTTTCTATATATTTTTAGTTGGCCAGCTAATTTCTTTCTATTTTTAGTAGAGATAGGGTCTTGCTCTTGCTCAGGCTGGTTTCAAACTCTTGACCTTGAGCAATCCACCTGCCTCAGCTTCCCAGAGTGCTACGATTACAGGCATGAGCCTGTACATGATTCTTAAGGCATCCCTGCTAGATCTTTTGCATGACACTCCTACATGATTTTTGGCCTTGTTTAGTTCTTTGATTTTGGCATTCTGTGTTGCCTCTACTGAGTATTTCAGCTCTCAAAAAGAACCTTTTCCCTCTCTCCCCCCAAGTCAGTCCTTATACCTAAGTGAAAGAAAAACAAGAGGATTCAGATTTGGGGACAAGTTAAATTGAAGAAGCAGCAAAAAAAATCCTTACATGGGTACCAGGTCCAGGAATATATATAGATTTAAAACATGTTAGATTGGAAAGCAATCTGGAGTCTACTCTTGGATGTTGTTATTCTATTACAATTTTTTTAAGAACTGAGGTCTTGCTCTGTTGCCCAGGCTTACTGCAGCCTTGAACTGTTGGGCTCAAGTAATCCTGCCTCAGCCCCCAGAGTCTCCAAGATTACAGGTGTGAGCCACTGTGCCCAGCTTCTATAACAATTCTTCTTCTTTGAAAATATAATACATGTGTTAAAATCTATGTTAAATAAGAACTGTTAACAATTGCGTGTAGCAAATCTGTTCCCACAGATATGATTAGTAAAGCAACATATTGAAAAATATTCTATCTCATAGAAGCACAAATTAAAATAGTTTTATAATTTTTTTAGAAGAATTTAAAGTGATAATATTTAATTCTGGCAACGTTTGGTGAAATAGTACCACTGACACACTGATATCTGCAACGTAAAGTTCAACTCTTTTAAAAATTTACTTGATTTGTACATAAAGATCTATAGGCATATTTATACCTTTAAAAGCAGTAATTCCACTCCTGTAATTTATCCTAAGGAAATAACCTACAAAGGAAAAATGTCTCTAGATAAAAGTGGAAAAGAACCTAAATATACAACAAAGGGAATGGTTAAAAAAATTGTTGTATGTCTACTCTCTGGTATATTATGCAACCATTAAGAATTATGTACAATTGACAAGGATTATATAGTAATGAGTAAGATGTGTAAGATATATTAATAAAAACAAAATTTAAGAGTATATGTATACTTTGATTTCAATTCTGTAACAGTATGTGGACAAAGACTGGATGTGTCTGAAATGTTCTAGTATGTCCTTCATAAAGGAGTGAAAATGTGTACATTAGAACTATACCTATTACAAGGAAGAATCTTGCGATTACAAAGTTGAGCAAAATAAAACATTACAAAAAGATATGCAAGCTACTATAGCATTTACATAAAGAGAAACACATGTAAAACAATATTGTACATTGTTTAAAGACACATATGTACCCAGGATATGAAGTAATGCATGGTAAAGGTAAATGCCAAGTTCAGGATAACACTTACCACTGGAGGGGTGGGGGAAGAATGCAGTTGGAGAGGGCACACAGGGGCCTTCAACTATATTCATTCTTTATTTCTTAACCTGAATGGTAGGTATGTGGGTGCTTGTTATATTATTTTTTCTACCATTTCATTCAAAATATTTAAAATAAATATTTCTGTGATGATAAAATAGCATCACAGCCCGTGCATAAGTGGAGATAAGATACAAGATCTAACAAGACTCCCCACCCCAGGTGCTTGGAGGCTGGCAGCGGAGCAGAGGCGAGCTCTACCACCTCCTCGGCACCTCCTGTCCTGTGTGGCCTGCACATGTGTGCTGGAGCACATGGTGCAGCTGCAGAACCACAGAGGTTGTGGTGGGCCTCACCAGTCACCTTGAGGATGTAGGCTCCAAGGGCAAGGCCAGATCAGGCAGCGGGCTGTTGGTGTTAGACAAGGTCCACTCAGTCAAGGTGGGACTGCTCAGTCATGAAGCCCTCCAGAGAAAAATTTCCTGGATTGGGTCTCCTCTGTAGTCCCCTCTGTATTCTGGATTTGTGGACATAGTTACAAGTTAATAATATTATTAACTTGCCTCTATACATTATGAAGCACTGAAATTCAAATCACTAAATGAATTTGAGGTCAACACATCTTATTTTTTATTTATTTATTTATTTATTTTATTTCAGCATATTATGGGGATACAAATTTTAAGGTTTCAAAAAATGCCCTTTCCCCCCTCCCCCTGCAAGTCTGAGTTTCCAGCATGACCATCCCCCAGATGGTGCACATCTCACTCATTATGTATGTATATACCCGCCCCCCGCCCCCCTCCCACCTGCCCAATACCCTACTACTGTAGTACCTATATGTCCACTTAGGTGCTGCTCAGTTAATACCAGTTTGCTGGTGAGTACATGTGGTGCTTGTTTTTCCATTCTTGGGATACTTCACTTAGTAGTATGGGTTCCAGCTCTAACCAGGAAAATATGATATGTGCTATATCACCGTTGTTTCTTAGAGCTGAATAGTACTCCATGGTATACATATACCACATTTTATTAATCTATTCTTGGATTGATGGGCACTTGGGCTGTTTCCACAGCCTTGTGATTATGAATTGTGCTGCTATAAACATTCAAGTGCAGGTGTCTTTTTTGTAGAGTGTCATTGGATCTTTTGGGTAGATGCCCAGCAATGGGATTGCTGGATCAAATGGTAGATTCACTTGTATCGCTTTAAGGTATCTCCATATTGCTTTGCACAGAGGTTGAACTAGTTGGCAGTCCCACCAGCAGTGTAGGAGTGTTCCTCTCTCTCCGCATCCACGCCAGCATTTGTTATTTGGAGACTTTTTGATAAAGGCTGTTCTCACTGGAGTTAAGTGATATCTCATTGTGGTTTTGATTTGCGTTTCCCTGATGATTAGAGATGTTGAGCATTTTTTTCATATGTTTGTTGGCCATTCTTCTGTCTTCTTTAGAAAAGGCTCTGTTCAAGTCCTTTACCCACTTTTTAATAGGGTAAATATTTGATTTAAATCAAAAAATATTTGATTTTTTCTTGCTGATTTTCGTGAGTTCTAAGTATATTCTAGTTATCAGCCCCTTATCAGATGCGTAGGATGCAAAAATTTTCTCCCATTCTGTAGGTTGTCTGTTTACTTTCATGACTGTTTCTTTGGCTGTGCAGAAGCTTTTTAGTTTGATCATGTCCCATTTATTTATTTTTGTTGCTGCTGTGATTGCCTTTGGGGACTTCTTCATAAACTCTTTGCCTAGGCCGATGTCTAGGAGAGTGTTTCCAACATTTTCCTCTAGAATTCTAATAGTTTCATACCTTAGGTTTAAGTCTGTTATCCAGCATGAGTTGATTTTTGTGAGAGGTGAAAGGTGTGGGTCCTGCTTTAGCCTTCTACAAGTGGCTATCCAGTTTTCCCAGCACCATTTATTGAAAAGGGATTCTTTTCCCCAGCGTATGTTTTTGTCTGCTTTGTCAAAGATTAGATGGCTATATGAGGATGGTTTTATATCAGGATTCTCAGATCTGTTCCACTGGTCAATATTCCTATTTTTATGCCAATATCAGATTGATTTAGTTACTACAGCTTTGTAGTATAGTTTGATATCTGGCATATTAATACCTCCCATTTTGTTTTTGTTGCCTAGAATTGCTTTTGATATTTGGGGTCTTCTTTGGTTCCATACGAAGTGTAAAATTATTTTTTTCTATATCTGTGAAGAATGCTGATGGGATTTTAATAGGTATTGCATTGAATCTGTAGATCAGTTTGGGTAGCATAGACATTTTAATGATGTTAAGTCTGCTGATCCACCAGCAAGGTATGGATTTCCATCTGTTTACATCCTCTGCTATTTCCTTCTTCAGTGTTTCACAGTTCTCCCTGTAGAGGTCTTTTACCTCCTTGTCAACACGTCTTATATTAGTTTTTGTCACTGCTGTAATAGATTGCCATAAATTTAGTGGCTTAACACAACACAAAGTTACTATCTTATAGTTCTGTGGGTTAAAAGACTGTTAAGGTCTCGTTGGACTAAAGTCCAAGTATCTACAGGGCTGTGTTCCTTTCTGGAGGCTTTATGGGAAACTTTTCCAGCTTCTAAAGGCTGCCCACATTCTTTAGCCTAGGTCCTCTTCCTTTATCTTCA